GGCGGCTGCAGGCCGCAGAGCAATGCCGCTGTCCCTGCTGCCATCGTGTGGTGACACCCCCACACTGCAGCCACCGAGCGCCTGGCAAAGCCCGGCCTCTCCAGGGGCGAGGAGCGAGAAAAAGCCATGGGAAAGAAACTTAGCTAACCGTAAAACTATTGACGCTATTCTGAATTAGTTTTAGAAACGGAAAAGCTGAAAGGTTTCTGGAATCAATGCAGTGCGCCTGTAGAAGATCAAATTTTTTGCATTGTCAGAATTAAAAAAAGTGACTGGCATTTCACAGATCGATCTATTAAAAAAATCAAGAAAGGGAAGGGAAGAACTATTTTAAAACAGAACATCAGAAAACAGGTGATAGACTTTCTTGGTGTTACTTCGAGAACAGAACACACAACAGCTAGATGCACAACCTAACCTGATCCATTTCCACTAAAGCAAAGGCCTACTGGTACAAAATATATGGATTTGCATTTAAAACAGTATTTTAAGACTTCTTTCTCCCAGAACATGAACAGGTTCACACTGCAACAATACTGTTAAAAAAAAAAAAAAATACACAACCGTCTTCCAAATTCCACCAAGCTGTCCAAGATTCCCAGGAAGCCTTGTTGCACTGTCCTCTGCTGGCTTGCTGCAGCTTGTTATTTCCAGTGTAATTTTGTACCAGCTACACAAGGTCAAAAATGGCTGCATACATTACAAGTGGTTCAAGACAGAAGGAATCCCTCATGCAGATTTTTAAAAGAGTATAGAGACTGCAGATTTACCAAGTCGGAAAAAAGGGCAACTGCAAGCAGAAACTACAGACTTCGGCTGTTTTGGACCTAAAACTTTGTATGGAAAGAAAAAATACCTCTCATCTCTATAAACAGGAATCTGTATTATCTCTATTTTCTTCATTATCTTATTTATGCACAAAAGTAAATATGCCAATTTAAAGAGGAAAAAACCCCCAAAACACAAATGCAACCCATCCAAGTCTGACAACTGGTAATGACATCAGTGTCATTCATCTAATTCTGCTGAACTAATGCAACTAGTTAAACTTTAATATTGTGTATGATTTTTTTTGTTGTTATTGAAAAAGCTCTTTACTACCAACCTCCACAAGAGTCTTTTCCATACCAGGTGTGTTTTCTTCTTAGATTCAAAGGCTTTTGATTTTTACATAGCTACATATAAAGTATTAGGAACAAAAATCCTATGAACTTGCAAAGGACATTGACTAACTTAGAATTAATGAAACTGAATTACAGCATAAACTATTTTACTGATTGTACCAGTCTGCCAAAAATAAGCTAATGAAGACAACCTAAAGATTTCTTTCCATTTAAAATTTGAAGAGAATATTGTAACCGTAAGACTCATTTTACATTATTTTCCTCTTATGTAAGTTAACCTACCGATTCATCCATGATTGAAGCGGGGTCAAAGAAATCTGGTTTTAGTTCCGTTCTTTCTCTCCTGTTCTTTGATGGTGGCTTCAGAAAGCAAGGAAACAAACAAACAAACAAACACGTTAACTGTAATTTCAGTTAAAAAACCCAAGAGTTTTTAAAATGTAATAAATGAAGCTGAGCTCTCAAGGGGTAAGAATTTACAGGGGATGAACATTTAACTCTCACATTATTATTACAGGAAGTGTCCTTGCTTTTTTTATGGCAGTTTGAACAGACAGCACTTGTACAGAGATAGCTGCACAACCATTTAAGAATGCAGAGATCAACGAGAATGTTTTCTGTTTCACCAAAAATTCTATTCAAATACGCTACTTTAAAAGCAGAAACAGAAATCCAAAATCCACTAAGAAAAGACAAGTAATTTTCTTACTAGGTCTATGTCCATGGTGTCAAAATCCATGCCTTCATTGAGATCTTCAATCCGCCCTTCTGATGACATCATCACATCTTCAACAATCGGCTCTTCATCATCTTCCATTAGACTTGTGCCACGTCGACTGCAATGAAAAGAAAAAACATTGCTCAGCACCAGATCAAGTTAGAGATGAGTATTCGAAAAGCTAACGTTCAGCTAGAAACTGCCAACAAATACTACTTCCATTAGACAGAAAATTAATTAAGTAATGATAAAAATGCATAACATCTGTTTAAGAAAGCTGGTATTTAACCAGCTAGAAGATACCAAGAGTGAGGGAGCACGACTACCAAAGATCCACGTATGGAACTTTGTGGCACATCTCTAAATGGCTGTTCTGAGAGGCTGCAGGAATCGGTAAGCCTATGGAAACCACACCTAATTCAGAGACTTCTCTACAGGTATTTATGTTTAAGTGCAAAAGAACAGAAGTTTTGCCACCTAAAGAAAAGCTCTTCCTGCCTTATGACAAGGTAGGTAGAAACATCTTGGTGATAAAGCTGATGCATAAACATGTTTTCAGGTATTTCCACACGGTCATTCATCCACTTTCCTCACAACCTCTAAGTGTGACATCAGACCTTATGAGAAAAGTAGCGAAAACGATGCAAAAGCTACTCAATATGTATGTACACAGTTTAGTTTACAACTGGTACTTCTCTGCAGGACAACACAGTCTGCAATAAAGCAGAGAACTTCTAAAACTAGTCTTCCCTTCCTCAGCTAAACGGTCTCTGGAACATATTTTCATTGGCGTGCAAGTCAAAATGCACACATGATTAATCACAACGAAGTACATGGCAGTACAGGAAGAATGAATGACCTCTGAAGGACAACATTCGTTTAAGAAACATCAGACTGCCTTCGTCTTTGTTCACAGTATGTAGGGCTTCACAAGGTTTTTGTGTGTTTGGGTAGGGAAGGCCTACAAAAACTGGTACTACAGGATTCCTCTCAACTTTGGTGTCAGTTTAGGACAGACAAAATCTGTACCAATCACAGAAATGCTGAAGACAGCCATCTCTAAAAGGAGTATTTTAAAATAAAAAAGCGGCTGAACTCCAAACTTACAACTCTGAAGTCAAAGGAGAAAGAAATAGTAGAATTAAAGTGAGTAGAAACTTTCTGCTCTGCACACTGAACACCTACTTTAATAGTCATTTTTAATGTTCTATTTCTAAAATTGATTCTGGAATACATAAAGATGATGTTTCACACATTGAACTGATTGTATGTAACTGCAACAGCAGCTAAAGTTTTAAGACACAGAAAAACACTGCTCAAGAACTAGAACATGTACCCCTCTTAAAAGATCCAGGAATAACACTGGATTTAATAAGCCCTCCCCTCCCCAAACCACTGAGGGAACAGGTCAGTCTCACTCACATCGCGTGTTGCAAGTTGGTTCTCAGCTTGACGTAGTTCATCGCTGCCCTCTCCTGCTGTTGTCGCGCGGCTTCTTCCTGTTGCCTTTGAGCCAACATCCACGTTACTTGCGTGCTTAAAAAGACCATCATTCTATTTTAAACATGAACTGGTTTTGTGTATGAACACTAACACAAAGCAGACCTACTCATCTACGTACTTGTAATCGAGTGGAGCTTGGTGGTGCTCAGGCTGCATAGGATAGACACCCATGTAGTTCTCCTCAGGTCGCAATCTCTTGGGCTCCCTCATTATTGTGGAAGTGAGCTGAGGTGTCTGCATCATGACCGGTGTGTGCATTGTCTGCTCCCTGTTCAGCCACATGCTGTCACTACTGCTGCTTTCTTCAGCTGGAAGGAAACACAGGAGGCAAGTCAATTTTTTTTCCAAACTAGTCTAAAATTGAATGTTTAAAGAGGACTTAAATGCATGTACTTTATGCTTACTGAGAATCCATTTCCTTATTTTCGCCGAAGTCTTAAATGTGCCCCCAAAGGCCTGGATTTATAACCACTGGCTAGAGTATTTAGAGTATGTAAAATACTTTCTATTCTGTGACTTAACACAGCGTAGTGCCTTTACTTCCTGCTGTGAATCAGCGTTCTGTTATTCAGACTCTTCAAATGAACAGTTTTCCCACTAAGATGTACACATATAGACAAGTTACCTTGTTTGACAAAAAATACATAAAAGCATACATATTTAAGCTAACAAGCAGGGATCGACACGTGTAATTTATATATCTACTGCAGTGAATTTTAAGATGAGGAAAGTTCTACCTTCAGGTACTTTCCGCTTCCCTGTTGCTGGCTTTGTCTTCTTATTTCTTACTGTCGACCCTCGACTACTAATTCCACTAATCACTGACATAGTATCGTCATCCCCACCAGCTAATAAAGAGTTTCTGTAGGACATGAGAGGAAGCCACACATCTTCTCTTCGTAGAGACATCTGAAAGGTCATAAACTTCTCCAAGTAAACGTACCTTTAAATGGAAAAGGTAATTATAAATAGGCAAAATATCTGTAACAGCTTGTTAACAGGTCAAGGTAAGAAACTACTGAAATTAACACCCAATGTTCCTCATCTGGTTAACAACAAGGCCTGACAATCGCAAGTCCAGAATATGCTTTCTGCTCATCCACCATGAAACGAGAGCAACAATTTACAATTTACCCTTTGTGATCATACCTGACTGTGTTAGTGTAAAATTATCTTGATGTGACAAAGATTCCACTGCGGGTGAATGCAATACACAAATAATAATAAAATAATAAACATGTATTTATGTATTTTATGGATATCATCACAAATATTAAGAATATTAAGAAACTACTTACACTGTTCTTTTGTCTTGTCTGAGAAGTTTGGAGGAGAACTCACTCAGAATATCAAGAAAAGCCAAATTTAACGGTGGGTGGCTCTCACCTTGAGGATTAGGCTCCTTAAAAGCAAATTCTATGCCATCCCTAAGAAAAAATTAAAAATTAAGTTAGATAAAGCACAGCTAAAGCTCTAGGCAATGGGAGCTATCAAATCTGAACACCTTTCCTCTACATGCAGAAAGCAATAAATCAGTGTTTCCATACTCTGGCAAGAAAACCAAACACTGTTCATAATTTGAATTGGGACATTTTCTGTCATGATGTCTCCACCCTGTGTTTCAGGTTTTCTGCATGAGGCCAACATGACTGCAGCTAGCAATGAAGTGGATCAGTTATTACTGTTACAGGGAAGACATTAAAAATACTTCTTCATGGCAGCACCAACATTACCATCACTTACAGGCTTAGACAACGATGCTGAAGAACATCAACATTATTTAACATTTCTGTTTAATTCAGGGACAAAACTGCAGTCATCTCCTAATTTATAAACGGCCTGTACCATCTCTAGTGCTGCTGTGTTTTATATTAACAAACTGATTTTGACAGACTGAAAAGATATTTTAACATTAGCCAAAAATTGTTTGCAAAAAGGGAAGTAATACAAAGCACACAATTACTTGTGTAACATGGCAATAGCTTCTCTTGTTTTCAACTGATCCAGTCCAAACGTTAAAGCAAAACGTCGAGCAAGTTCCTTTATGCCACTGAATGTCGGTGATGATCTGTCAAAATTGTAACCATTTTCTTGAATCATTTCATTGAAAAGCTGTATGAAACAAAAAGGGAGATTTTCATTTATTAAAAGATTTTACCAAACTTCACACTAATCAACACAGAGCCAAGTTTCAGTAAAAAAGTGGTTTACAGCTTTTTGTTTTCTTAATTCAACAACCCCAGAAGACAAACATGAAGGTTTAGGGCAGCCAATTCAGGCTACTCTTGAAGAGCTTCCACTTTGGAGTTAACCCCTGAAATGTGCTGTTCAAGCACATAGCCAACTGTAAATATGTTGGCTGACAAATTTCAGCACTTCCCTACATGAGTTGAGAACATTAAACATTAGCAGGATTCCCTGACACGTACACTAATGGAGAAGAAATAAATGGGGTAAATCCTCACTTGGTCTTCACTGTTAGAGTCTGTCAAACTGCTACTTCCTAATTCCTTTTTTCCCCCCTCCTATGTTTTCAAAATACAAGTATAATGAAGAAACTCTAAAATGGAAATGTGTTCAGGAAGCTGCCAAAGACACCAGAAATTTTGCCACTGAGGCTTTTAACCGTTCATCAGTAGTTGACAAAGCTGAAAACTGAACTTTACAATTTTTTTTTTTTTCCCCTTTCATCAACCTCATCCTACTGAGCTTGACTGTAATTCTCTTCAACAGTCCATTTTTCTACTACTTTGTAATTTGGTCTAACACACCCTTCACACTTTCATATAGCAGAGAAAGAACCAAGAGCAGACTTACTAGGGCTATGAACAGCAACTTTTCATTTATGTGTATGTTTTGGCCCAGTGTTGCACACTGGGTTCTTTATGTTGGTGTAGCTCACTGCAACTGAAGTTACTCCCTTCATCCACTACCACTTCTACAATTTCTGCTCTGGTTAGTTTCTTATTTAGGAAGTCTTCCTGGAAAAAATGCTAGTTGAACATGTAACTTTGCACGTGGGTTTTGTTTATTTGTTTTAAAACAGTTGGGTCCTCTCCTGTTACTGTTCTTACTGCCCGATCAGTATTTTGAAATTTCCTCCTCGTTAAATGCCTAACTGTACTTACTACATTCACTTCCTCTGTCTGCCCTTTAAAACACAAGATGCTGGTTATGTATGAGATGGAAAAGATTAATAAAGATAGCATTTACCCAGCATCACAGAAAAATTGTGAACTCTGCTGAAATGTCAGCAAACATTCTAGGAGCATTTAGTTGCCTATTTTATGCTGCAGTTCCACCTGCTGCTTCAAGTCCTGCTGCTATCAGAAGGAAAGGCCTCATCCTCCCCAGTATTCACAATATCCATACAGATAAATCAGCTTAGGGGCTTCATTAAGGACTTTTTCTGGTTAGTTCTCAACCAGGATCAAGATCTAGATCTGTATCCACTTTGTGGCTCTGTGACCTCTAGTCAAAAAACCCAAAGGCGTGGGTAGAGAGATGACAAATTGGGGTACATGTTTTCCTTTCAGCAATAGCAGAGATCTATGTTGGATTACAGTGGTTTGCAAAGATATGGCTTTACTGTTCTGACCCTGTAAGTAAGATTCATGCAGACAGTTCATGTGAGAAGATGAATCCGACTCTGACCTCGACTGAATTCATCAGGTCTCCACACAAACAAGCTCATTTACTGCAGAGAGCATTAAATCATGTTTTAATATCTAAGATGGGTGAAGCCTCTACCAAACATTAAGAAATACTGAATTACCAAAACTTCCTATTACTTCTCAGAATACTATTGGGGAAAAAACAAACAAACAAAAAACCACCCACAAACAAACAAAAAAAACCCCTCCACCACAAAAACCACCCCACAAAAAAGAACACAACCCCCACCACACAGGCAGAAAGACTTTCCCCTTGTTCTTCTGTTCATGAATAAGTAAATGAGCAGCATCACAACACATTTCCAAATATGCGACATAAACTACTGGTTTAGAGTTAAGAAGGTATCACAGAGTTACGCTCATTCCGTATTGGTCAGCCTCTCATACCAAATACTGTGCTATGAAAAGTGTAAGTACAGGGAGACTTCAGGCAGCTGTTCAAATAGCTGCAGAAAATGTGGTTCAATTTAGACCTATTTCCTAAGAATTTCTTCGTTAGTACTTCACACTAGCTATTAAACTACAGGACATGATCTACCATGTGGAATTTCATGCATAAAGATATTATAAATGATTCTTACCTGCTGCAAGCTAAGAATAAGTGTTTTAGCACACTGGATTTTGTCTATCTGTCTTGTTTTACTCATTGTTTCTTTAATAATATCACCATAGTCATTGTAATACTACAAAAAGTAAGAAGAAAAAAAAGGTTAGCTTTTGATTTTAGTTGAAAACATTACAACTACTAAATTCTTCAGAAAACAACACCTAAGATTTGCTATTTAAAAAAAGAGTTAACATTTTCTAAAGGAAAAAACCTAACACGTTCATGAACACATCAAAATGAAATCCTAACACACCTCCAAAATTACAAAAAAAAATTCAAATCAGAAGGAGTATCACTTCTATTTTTTCTTGTCGTTCTTATTACTTTAGAGGCAGAATGACCTATTTATCTTCAAGGCCATGACACATTTGTTAATGACACGTGTTCATCCCTTTGGGGTACAAGATTAGAATCTAATCTTTTCAGTAACTCCTAACTCTGGTAAGGAGTTTTCTATTTTCTATGCTGAAAGGCAGCACTTCTGGACAGAGTCACAGCCATAATTTTTCCAATGAAGACAACTTCCTGTTCAGTTCTCCAAGTATTTCAGGGTCAATAAAGACCCAATTATTTATTTAGAGATTCAAAATATATGTATCATAGAATGAACCTTAGAATGGCTTGGGTTGGAAGGGACCTTAAAGATCATCTAGGTCCAACCCCCCTGCCATGGGCAGGGACACCTTCCACTAGGCCAGGTTGCTCAGAGCCACATCCAGCCTGGCCTAGACATTCAGATAAAAGCAAGCTGCCCAAATTTTAATTTACGAAGGAGCAAAGCTTTATCAGGTTCACAAAATGAGAGCTCACATTATTGTGCTGCTGTGAATCCTGGGAGCCAAGGAAGAGGGTTTATATGTGTTTATAAATATGACAGAAACAGATATTAAATCCCTTGGGGGGGGTGGGGCAGCAGGCAGGTGGTGGGTGGAACTCCAAAAACATTTTTTTGCACTTCTAGAAAGTTTAAACTGAAATTATTTGGTGAGGCCAGACATCATGGAGTTGATCTTTGTGAGAAGATTCTCAAGAAGTCTGCTAAACTAGTAACTGATTAAAAACATACTATTGTTCAGGATAAGAAAACTATCTATTAAAATAAATGTAAAAATAACCGACAGGTTTCCTTCCCTGCTACCCACATACTGGGACTGTGAAACTAATCTCAGTCATTTTCTCCCTTCTTGCGTAAAAAGAACTTTCAAAGGCCCACAAACTACCAACTCTGCAGTTTTGAATTCTTCACATTTTGAATCAGTTATCTTGTGAGGTAAAAAATAAATAATAATTTTAAAAATCCACAGCTAGTGTACTCTAGGAGTTTTATGAAGTATGACTACTGGGCTTCAGATTTACCTTCATATATTGCTTGAAAATGTCTGCAGCTGTGTTCATTTCCACCACAGTATATACAATGAGTTTACAGAAAGCTGCAAGCAGATTTCTTCTTTTGTGCAATGCTTCAATTTTGCTAGCTTCATCATCCTGCTGTCCATCTAGAAAGAGTTCAGAATGTGAAAACTGTCAGGTTTGAGTATTTCATATTTAAACACTTATCTATAAAGTGATGTGGGCTAATGGTCAGGCTTCAAAAAAAACCAGATCTCTGCTCTGACAGCAGTGCGGTTCATGTGCCATGCACACCTCAATGCAAGAAAAGCAGATGAAAAACCACAAAAAGCATAGGCAAACACATAGGTTAGTTAGACCACAGACAATATAAAGGAAACTTAAGTTTTGTACAAACCTGCACTATTATTATCATCATCCTGATCAATGAAGACATGATCTAAAATAAAACTGAGTAGTTCAGATTGCAATGAAGAATCAGGAGTGTAAACAAGCGGCTCCAACATGTCACGTCCTCCTGTCATAATCTGATGACTGAAGATCATCAACACGTCACACAGAATTGTGAAAGCCTATTAAAAAAAGAAACTTTAGTAAACAGCTTGCTTGGAAACTGGATTTATAATAATGTATTTCCACTTAATACAATACTTAGAGGCCGAGGTTGTACACAGACCACTTAAGTCCCCAACAACTACACAGGCCAACTGGAAGTCAAAATGTGCAGAGTTTCTTACAGGAGGAGGCTGTGTAAAAACTGGATCTCCAAATAAAAATATTGCACAGGTGAAGCCAATTAAATAACAAAATATTATGAGATTCAAACATGAGGAGCTTGAAACTCACAAATTACGCCTGACAGGCACTACATTAGGTCTTTAGAGAACTTTGTGGACACCAACCATAATACAGTCCCTTTTTTTTCATTTTAAAATTGTTTCGATCACATCTGTAAAACAGCTGAGGTCATTCAGTCCCTTTAAATCCTAAAGCATGTCTTGCTTCCGAAAAAGCAACCACCTCTTCATTCTGCTGGCTAACTTGTGCATCTACCATCAGATTTAAATGCCTTTACTCCACCTCCCCAGAAAGTTCACACCTTTCAGACCCTAAACTGATATTCTTCAAACTAACAGACCAAGGCAACTATTACTAGTTTCCTGGCCATAAAAATCCATGTGCTCCTCTGAGTCCCTTGTGCCTCTTCACAAGATGAGAGGAGAGCAGGAGGCAGCTATTGTGCCCTACGTGACGGAGGCAGTTCTAGTTTCTAGAGCATTCACCCCAGCCTGAGAGTTAGACCGACTTTTAATGAGACCTACTCAGAGCTGCGGCAATTTTGTTACTTGCACTTTCACACCCCACACCTGGTAGTTTTGACACCAGACAGCTCTCCGACACAAAACGTGCCTATTCAGTTCCAAGAATACTCTTGTTACAGCAGGAGTTTCAAAAGCTGCAGGTGTGCGACCCAGCGGACCGCACTGCCAATGTCAAGCCCAACCAGGTTGCTATTACCTTTAGCAGCCAGAGGCTCCTGGCCTTCCATTTGTTTAATTATAAAGTATACCCAGAAGACAGCTTGGTCCTTGCCCCATAATGATACTACTGGTTTTTTTTTTCATTTTAGCATTCTAAAGGTTGTTAGAGGCATTTACTTAGAATTAATCCTGCTATCAGTAACCTGTGCTCTTCACTGGAACCTGAAACTCCTGTGAGTGTCCAGCTAGAGAACTACTTGATCACGGACTGGAATAGTCTCAGCCCCTATGGTTTAACTTTTTCCTTGGACCCTGTTACCCTCAAAACAAATATTTCCTAAGATGGTGTCTCAACTCTTTTTGAAACAGAAGTAGACAACCTGCCTGCCTGCATTTTTCTTCAAAAAAGTCAGGGCTTTTGTCTCCTACCTGAAACATCAGGCACTACTTGCACGGACTAAATGCCTACACGTTTTATGTCTGAAATAACCACGAACCTCGTTCCAGCCAAAACTCTCCCCCACAAAGGGCAGCCCTATGAGGGACTGACTACAAAACCAGTAAAATGAGAACTGCTCATGTCTTTTCCAAGCAGTACATCATCGTTGAGGCTTCCAAGCAATTGCTAGAACCGTCTCCAAATATCTGTAAACAATACTGTTGACAACTGACCAATGTGTGGGTGTCACAAAAAAGAAACACCACTTCCCAACACTAAAATCCCCTCGGTCACAGTGCATATGTGTGTGTGTGTATAAACACACGCACGTTAAGTATCCATTCTTCTCCTGCATTGGAGATCCCCAACACCGTGGGACTCCCAAGAACGAAGGAATACATTCTGTATGCAGCATCACGGTGAAGGGCAACAGAGAAGTTGCCTCTGTACGTCCTCACAAGTTCACAGCAAGTGGAGGAAAGCTGTATTCACAGTCCTTGAGTGGATGGGCACATATATATATCACAATGTACAAATGGACAAACTTCTCTTTTCAATAGCCTTCCCTAGCTTTTCCAGCTCTGAGTCTATGAATCCACAACCAGCTCCACTGGCAGCGTGTCATGAGCACGTGATAAGTAAGCGAGAGCTTTGAAATGGAACTCTCCCACCTAACTTAGAGAGCAGAAGGCTTTGTGCCCGCCCACTCACTGTTTAAAGAAACAAACATAAAAACCCTCTGAATGACAGTTTATGCTGCCTAAAATTCCTAGAAAGAATCAAGTTTAAAATGATTGGGAAATCCTACCTAAATGACCTAAAGGAGGGCAAGCACGCAAGTACTCAAAGGACATCCAGCCTGAACACCCAGGACATCAAGTTTAAAATGATTGGGAAATCCTACCTAAATGACCTAAAGGAGGGCAAGCACGCAAGTACAGTATGCGTCCACACTCAAAGGACATCCAGCCTGAACCCCCAGGACATGCCACATTACTACTTAAGCGCTAAAAATACTAGCAAGAACTTATCAACTGCTTCAGAAGCATAATATTGGAAGACCACAAGGATAAACAACAGTCACTAACCTGTTCCTTAACAGCAGTGTTTACATTGGTCAGGTAGTGTTGACAGATTTGACAAAACACTCTCATCTGCTTCTTTAGACGTAGAAGATCCTCCTTTAAAAAAAAAAAAGGGGGGGATTTCATATAACAGTTTTCCACCACAGACCCTGTACACAGTTGTAACACTCAAGTCCACTACATTATTTAAAAATCACTATTACAAATAAGAAGAGCAAGTAGGAATTTCCCCAATTCTCTCATCCTGTGCACCACAAGAAGAAATGGAAGTCGAGATGAAACTAGAAGTTATTTATTTTTAAAAAGAGCAATGCGAAAACCCCAAACCACACATCAACACCCCACCACCACCAAAAAAATAAAAGACAACCCACACCAGCCCAGAGCATAAAGAATTTTCTCTTTCAAAATATCTGTATTTTCAACCTAGAGGATCGATTTCAGGTAAGTGTTCATAACTGGAACAGAAAAGGCTATATGATTTTTATTTTTGTTTTAAAACTCACTGCTTGGGGATAAAGGAAAACATCTTTCTTCCCCTCTTCCATTGAAAAAAAAAAATGTAAGTGTTGCAATCCCTTCCAGTAAACTATCAAATGGGTGCAAGCACCCTCCACATGAGCAGCATAGCTGGTGTTACTCAATCCTGTGAAGATTCCAGCCCATGTAGAACTGGGGAAGTCCTATTACAAAAGACCAACCGCGTAACCAGCATAGCTCCAGACCAAGAGAAATACCCCTGAGAGAAGGTGAAAAACTATCCATGCAGTCTAAACCAAAAGTCTCTCCCTACAAGAAAGCAAGTAACACACTGGTACAACACGCCATTTCAACTCAATAGGAATCACAAAAGCAACAGCTGCTTCTGGACTACGAGTTTAAGTGTAATGTGATTTTGGAATACCTTCACTACATAAAACCTTTTCTCTCAACATTTACCATTCAGGTTACTACACTGATGTTAAAATATTCCCATGTGCAATTCTCTTATTGCTTTATACACAATTATTAATTTAAATTTTAATAGAAATTGAACTAATTATATAGCCTTATTTTAGCAGCCTGTATTACGAAGTCAATTCCCATACTTGGTCAACCTGTTTACAAGAAGAAAAATATCTTTAGGCACAGTCCATTTCTGTCACTGCTGGTTCTGTGCTTCAACTTCTTTGCTGCTATGTTCCATAGGCACTGAACAGAGATCAACGGAACTGCTGGCTGTACCTGGTCTATTTGGTAGCAGTCAAACAGTTAAATGTAATAGAATAGCTGTGGTTCTGATGTTAAACCTATGAAAGTAGTCATTTACCAGATTTTATTATACAGGAGCAGAAAATGGTTCCAATAGAAGACCACTTTTCAAATAAGTTCTTTTTTTTTGCTAAAAGTATTACAAATTACATCTTACTGCAAGATACCTAAGTTGATCTTCATTTCTAACATAACTTTTCAGTATTTAGCTCAACTTCTGCCATCAGGTTTGCAATAAAGCTTTAATCAGATTAAAAACTCTCACACTGCTGTTCACCCATAAAGAATAAGCTAACAAAGCCTCCAAATCCTTCACTCGTCTAAGCGGTTCTCAAAAATCCACGTACCCACTTCATACATGACACTTTTGGTTTTGCAGGTGTTAAAAGCCATTAAAACCTAGATGGTAAACTTGCTAGGCAAGCAACATTGAAGTTTATTTATTTAACACTCCTTCAGACTGTAATGGCTTAATCAGTAAGGCCACAGTTATTCACTGGACTAATGAAATCTTAACATGAGAGGGAAAAAAGAAAAAAAGACCACAATCTCAAAGGTGTTCTGTTACAGAAACCATTAGTACAAGTTACATAGCATGCTTCTCCACTCCTGTATCTACCAAAACCCCAAAATAAAGAAAAAATGTATACATTCTACATTAGAAAACATTTATTGTCATAATGGATTGTTAGTTAATCACAAGTTGCAATGTACTGATTACAAACTATTGGTGCCATGAGTTCTCTTTTGTTTCCTCCCTAGTAAATTGTGACAGATGCCTATGACTTCTTTTTCTTAAATTAACGATAATTATGGCAACCACAGCTTTTAAAAAACCTGAAGAATTCACTTATTTAATCTCTGACATAAAGAATGTGTTATCAGTAACTCCAGTAACCAACTACAACTCCAGCATACATTTCCAGTGAAAGAGCATAAAATGTACCCAACAAAAGGGCGGTAGAAGGATTCCATAAAGCGTGTTTGTTTTTCCAGAGAAAATCTTTTTTGTAGAGAGATCATTTTGTAGAGAGATCATCAAAATGCTTCAGCACTTATGAATTCCCTCCTAAACTGTCTAGCCTTTCAAAATCCACCCTTTATTAGGCAGTCCGCACAGCAAACCACCTAATCACTCTCCTTAAGCAATGCTGTCCAGTGGATACAAGAAACCGTAATCCTTCCTCCAAGATCTTTCAAGAAGTTAAATTAGAAAGATGACATTTGCCAGAGCTTTGCCCTTCAGGATCACTATACATAGAACCAGAACAGGCCCTCTCCCTACTGCCTGAGAAAGTCCAAAATTCAACTTAATTTTCCATGTTTTTATTTAACACCACATTTAAAAAAACGAAGAAGAGCAAAGTATGACTGCAACTACTGAGCAGTAAAAATATTACAATAGTGTGCAAATACTTGTATCTCACTGACACTTCACGGGTTGCAAACAAATTCAAACCCACTACGTCAGAGTAGCAGGACTGACCCTGCTGTGTTTCAGAATTGGTTTTCTACCCCTCCCCTGCTCCTAACAGCACTGTTACTGTGCCACACTAGTAGGTATTGCATTTACTTGCTACAATTACTTTAAAATTCTGTCAAATTCATGTAATATTGACATTTAAATAATAAAAACATAACAATTTACAGAAACACTAGGTTTAAAAGTCAAGCATTCAAGCCACTACTAAAACTATGAATTATGAAGCACTTATCAGAAATTTAGGCAGGTATCGGTATTAAATAAGACTATTGTTAGTTTTAATTAATCCCATCACAGTTCCCACTTGATGACACAGCAAGTCTGTAGAAACGTTTATTTACTAATACAACCGGAACAAGGCATACCTTTGTGGAACTGCTTTCAGTAATTTTTGCTAGCTGCCAAAGGATTACATAATGAGTACACTGCAGTGCATGAATAACAATCTGAAACCAAAAGGACAAAGCGCATTAGATGACAAAGGCCAGTAAATGACAGCAACAAAAGCTATTTACTGTGGTACCTAAAGAACACGTTTTAACTACAGACCTGTTCTGGCATGTCTCCATTTTCAATGCCAGTTTTCAGTAACTTGTAGTTGCAGCCAAACAAGTCCCATCTTGATAGGTCATGAGCACTGAAAGCATTAGAAATGAAGCAAAGATGCAATTTAACTAACACTGTTTCTGCAATTTGATGTTAAAAACTACTAAAAGCTTCTCTGGTCTTTTAAAAAAAAAAAAAACAACAAACCACCACAAACCAAAACATGCAACAAAACCATCACTCCCAAATGCAAAAAATGCAACACTCCACCGCACAAGTACTTGCCATGAACCCCAACAAAAAACCCCACCAGAGCAAAAACACCCCAGAAGAACTGAGTTCTGAAGACATTTCTTCATATACTTAAGAATGTGTCACATTCTGCACAACTCTCAATCATTCACACTAAACCAAAAAGTTGCATTAAAAAGTTACGAGATAGCAAACTAAAACCAAAGACCCCCCCTCCACACCCCCGACGGAAGTTTGCAGAAGCCTACTTACTTGTGAAAAGCAGTGATTCTCTTCAGTGTTGACAACACTTGATATGCATCATCTTCATCAGGCTCCTCCCCCTGTTGAATAAGCACACAGTGAGATACCCCAAACAGTGTAGGCTAAGCAAACTAGGGAACTTATATTACTTTTTTTAAAAAATACTGAAAACCAACATCAAACCCAAGTGAAAAAGAGAGAGAAACTACATCTAAATTATCAGTGATGCGTCTGTTTTTAGAAGAGTTAAACAGTTTGAGAGAGAAGGTAGCAGTTCATGCTTAGAAACAGTCAGAAGCAGAGAAATAGGGGAGGGGGGTGGGGAGAAGGATAGGAAAAAAAAGTCTAGGACAGTTGAAAACAATGTATTATGTAGGTGCTTCAATTTTCTCTGAAGAATCCAGCAGAGGCCACTGTCAGACAATAGATACACTGGACGAGATGGGCCACGGGTCAGTACCTCAATCTTACTTCCATCACAAAACAAAGTCTTTGGGAGAGGCAAGGGAAGTGTTTTGTTCTATTTTTTCCCCACAAGTTCTAATAAACGGGCATTTGGAGAAGGAAAAGGAGTAAAACGGAAAGGGTCCAAGAAGTATGTAAGTACACAGGATAAACTATCCAAGGCCACAGATACTCCCCCTCAGCGTATCAGAGATACTGCAAGTCCAGCGCGTTTCACTGTTCTGTAACTGCACAACCTTATCAAAGCGCTACGATTTCAACACTTCTACCACAGGATTTGCCACTTTCCTTCAAGCAAACAGTCTGACATTTCATTTCCTTGCTTTACGTCTCATTTCTTCCTCAGAAAGGAGGAAATAAACGGATTACTAGGCACATTTGTTACACGGTCCACAGGTGCCTAGGGTTTCATCAGTGGAGTGCTAGTTCAGGCCAATGAGCAAGAGGACAGGAGCAGAGCTTGGTGAAGTAAGTCTGCACCGGAGAAGTGTGGAGAATGAAGTCCTCCAGAAGTCACTTCCCATGCCCCTTAGCATCGATGAGGAGGACGAGAAACAAGTTATGTCTGTATGTCAGAGATCCCACATAGTGAATTTAAATACTGTATCAGAAAAGCCTCACTCTTCAGATTAGCAGAGTGTGGGAACAAAGTGATTTTTAAGCTATTAACTGCATCTGCTTGTATTCAGGAAGGGAGGGGGAGTGTTTCCTAGATATTTTGATATTTATCAACAGCAACACGCAGTCACAGGCAGAACTAGCAACACTAGCACGTCTGAGGAGAATCCTTGTGGAATCACAATGCTGCATCTCTCCAGCTCATAGGCTTCAAGACCTAAAGGTGAAAAGTTTACTTAATTTCATAGTTTACCTAAAACTTAGATCTCAAATTCCCAAGACATTTGTCAAAAGGAGATCCAAATTAAAGACTCATCGTCCTAATAGAAAAGCACAGCCTGAGTTGACAGAACCACAGCAGCTGTGTTACTGTGACATCAGTTTTGAAAGCCGGGGGGAAGCTCCCATCCCAAACTGGTTGACTTGCACAGGAAGGCAGAAAAACAAACTGGAAATATATACAGGGGCAGGAAAAGTTGCTCATGCACACTGAAATACCTCTTGCAGGAAGTCTTCCAGAAGTCGATTAAACTTGTCTGCCAATTCATCTATTAACTGACTTCTTGCAATGTCAACCCTGTTAAAGATTGTGAATTCTTCATTACAGAGAGCGTGGTATGTTTTTGAACAGGCTTCCAAAACATCTATATCTGTGTGCTTCTCCACAATATCCCGGATTTGTCGCAGTAAGGCATCCAAATGCTATGAGAAAGATGAGGAGTGGGAAAAAAAAAAATGTATTTTTAATATATACATATAAAAATATATGTGTGTGCATGTGTAATAATCCTAAGTAATTTTAAAATATAAATTCAATTTATTACTCTTGTAACTATGACACAGAATACACTATGCTTCCAGAAAGCCAGTCAAGCTTCTGAGTAAACTGAAAACCTGTTTAGCAAAAATTAGGTAGGAGTTTGTCAAAGGCTAAAGACTCAATGCATTTTTAAAAGTCCTTAAAAATTTGCAGTTACTGGTATGGTTTTATCTAACACTTCAATTTGCAGTGACAACTGAACAACACAGAAGCACTGATCTACCACTCACACAAACATTTATACATGGTCTTAAAAGCGGTATAATTGAAGATTTAGTTTCATAACATTTAAGTGTCAGCACTGAAGCCAATTTCAGTTGTTCTTACATGACTCCCCCCAACCTGAGTTGCTCGGTGCTGCTCTATCGCTGCCAGGCTATGCTGTCGACTAAACATTTCATTACTTTTTTGGCCCTAATGATTTTCAGCTACCTGCGTCCAAATACTTCAAAACAGTGCTCTGATAAGGAGGAAATAGAGATGAGAACAGCTTACACCAACTTCATCACCACAGCAGATAAAATGAGAGCAGTAACTATGTAATTTCTGATCTGGTAGTTTTCCCCTTGTTCATGTAATGAAGATGGCAGTTTATCAGTTTCCGTAATCAGAAAAAGAAAGCTAATCAAGCTATCTCTACAAGCTTTATCTGTCAGGCAGCATACCATAACCATAACCCAACAATAAAGTTAATTTAACCGGCAAGATTCTGTGTTAAGACTTGCCAGACAGGCCTTAGGAAACTCAGACTTTAAGGATCTAAGAACAGCAGCCAGTCACAGCTCTGAAGTCCAAGTTTCATTCTCAGTAAGGGTTACAATAAAGTCTCATGCGAAAAAAACACACCTACAATGGTGACTGAAATTCCAGTGACTAAGCCTAAATGCTGGGTTTTCTCCTTTTGTGTGGAGCGTTACTGAATGCCACCTTACCTTTTCCAATCGCCCTGTTGTATAAATTTCCAAATCAAAGTACTGTGGCAACTGCAGTAAGTTGGTGACTTTTTCTGCATCTACAGAATACTGTAAAATTGACAAGGAAAAATGTTTAAATTAAAATGTCCTGGGCACACAACTCATTATAGAACAATCAAATATGAATAAAGACTAATAAGAAAAAACAAAGACTTGTGCAAACCACGAAGTGCATTACAGAAACTATACTACTTAACATTTCAACAGCAGTCCATCAGCAAGAAATGGAATTAAACCTACCTTTGCTAGCAACTGAGGGAGTGCCACAGCAAAAAGTTCAGTAATTTTTGTCCTGTCATCCAACTGAGTTTTCTTTTCCTTTGCTGTCAGCACCTGAAATATTGGTATTGTGAGGATTTTACAACTAAAGTTCTGGTGCAAAGTTTCACTATCATTAATGAAATGACAATTGGGTACACAGACCTTCCCATATCACTGTAAAATATCAACTTAAAAAAAACCCAACTAAAAAACCCGAAAAACGACACACACATTCAGGACTCAAAAAATACAATTCAAGTTACACGTAATACTATAATTTTGAAAAAAGAAGTGTTTGCCTTCCCATGATCATACCATGATGAAAATGCTTTTCGTGACAACTAAAGAAGAGAAACCTTGCAGCTTACATACAACTTTTAATTTTATTTACTCAACCCATATGTCAACCTTATCTTCATACAAGTTTTCAATCTGTATCTAAATGGGTTTCTTACCAAATGCTGCACTAGGTTTGAAAGCAGTTCCCTTCCCTGCTTAATGCCCCACTGGAAGAGGGCTGCCTACACTCTGCATGATCAAGAGAAAAGCCAATTGGTAGACTGTCCGCCTTCCAAAGGGACTAGGAAGTATGTTCCCTTTCCTCATTTTGCTTTTTCTAATTGAAAATGGTTTTAGCTTTCCCAAACATTCTCCTTTCCAATCTTTGTTCAAAAAAATCGATTTTGTTTTTTACTATTAAAGGTAATACAACTGCAGTACTCCAAACAGTATTAAACACATGCCAAAGTCCAGAAAAAGTGAACTAGCCAGGGCAGGCAGATACTGGAGGCTTTGGAGACTGAAGCTGAAGACTGTAGCAACAGCCTACAACCTTATCCTTCTTCCCACACAGCCATTCCCACATCTCTAGATAAATAGCTTTTTGCTTCCTACCCTTTTCCCTGTTCCTCTTCCCACAGGAGGATGACATTCAGCTGCTTGCCGAATTGTACAAAGCATTATTTCAATCAGTGCGCTTTCCTGTCTATCCGTTAAAGCTGCAATGTAAGAAACAGATGTTAATGCACACCTTCATTTTTCATCTTCCACAAGTATCTGAAGATCAAAATATGCTTGTTTTTTAAAGAAAAAAAGAAAGGCATTTAGGCCAACAGCTCATCCAGGGGCAAGGATGGCAAAAGGGATAAAGATAAGCACCTTACAAAACAACACAAGAAAGTATTTAAAATTGAGGGAATGTCACTGGATGAATCACAGGACACGATGAAACAAATAACAAGTTTTATAATCATTTCAGTTCCTTTTCAACTTTCAGAGGTACATTTACCAGCACCTACAAATTACAGAATTATGCCGGGGGGTTGCTTTGGTTTTACTGCCATCACAGAAATGGCGGTAGTTTTCCATAGGGTAGTTTCAACCCTCAATAAATGAGACAGTTTCACAAGCAACTCAGTTTCTCTAACACCAGAAGTGCAGCCTGAAAGTATGGAACGATAAAACAACTGGACACTGCATACATACTTCCCCCCTCTCTTCTCACTCTCTGTTCTTCCCAGCATTGTTGTTCTTTGTCTCACTTCCACATCAGAAGTGATCAATTTCTGCTCTCTCTCACATTTTATGAGTATTGGTGATTTATTAGTCATGTAAAAATAGAGAATATATGGGGACTCATAAATGTAAACATCTTATTTCCTTACAAATCAAGAGTAACAGAAACTGGATAGGAACATAAAGAAAGATCGATGAAAATCTCTTACGTTCTTCTCCATTGAGAGGCTCCTCCAGCAGAAGACTGTTCATACATTCCCAGTCCTTCAAGAGGTCTGTTGCACAGTCCCACATGCTGTCCACAAGATAAGCAGCATGTTCATGCAACTAAAATGAGAACAGATTCAGTATTTTTCTTTATCAGCAATAAAGTTTGTTACAGAACTTGGTATAACACAGGGTATTTTTATCACATGGCACAAAAACGCAGGAAATAGAAATAGAGCTCTCTGGCTCAACAGAAGCCTCTCTTCCCCCGTTAAAAAGACAAATCCAGTCCAACAGAGAGTAGTGCTGCAAGGGGTGGGTGTATGAATGTGTTTGTTTTGGGGCAGGGTTTTTCTCCCCTCCCCTTTTATAAACTTCCTAAAATCAGAATTTCTTTCCACCTATATATTAGCATGAAAATGAGGGAAGAATTTGACAGAGTAGAGCTCACAGCCTGTCCTGACACTGCGTACTGTACAGATCCTTCAAAAAAACCCACAACCACACATAACATTTTTGACCCCCAGGTTGCTCAAATTATAGGAAAATCAAGACAGGTTCATGGTTATTACCCAGTGAGCGGTGAAAAGAGCAACAACAAATAAAATGAGCAACCACTGGAAGAGGGCTGCCTACACTAAAAAAAAAAAAAAACAACCCCCCCCAAAAAAAAATCACACAAAAAACCCACCACAAAAACACCACACAGAGCCACCCAAACACACCACAGAAACAAGGATGCCCCTGGAACTCAACTTACTTCACTTTCCAAAAAGAAAAACACTAACGTCTTCACAAGATTAGCATTCGGACCTTGTCTTCCCCTCCTTTTAAGTATTCCATCATCTTCAGGATCTCTGCGGCTGAAAAGCCTAAAAGAAAAGTTATTTCAGGACAAGTTTCTTCTTCGTTGCCTCTGCCACAGTCAGCTCACATCAAGATACTGGTTTTGTACAGACACACAATACCTTGCTGCTAACACATTTTCTTTTGAAAAAGTAATTTGGGACAAGTATCATTTCAACAATTTCATGTATGCTGAGCTGGTATTTCACTGACTGTTTCCAGTGGAATGTATAATTATAAAAAAACCCTTCACAAACACCAGCGATAATTGCTCGAGGTCTCACGCTCCTCTTTAGCAAACTACATTTTCTGAACTGCCCCACGTGAGGCTTTAAAGCAGACAGGAAATAACAGAAGACCACCTGAGAAGTATTAGATGGAAATTCTGTTTTGTTTCCCGACACCAGATAGGTGTGTTGAGTATCCCTCCCTTTTTTTAAAAACAGACAAATACTTTAGGAAATGGTCACATGTCTCCATCTTACTTCTTATACAGAAATTCCCCTGCAGCAACGGCTACTGGCCGATGAGCTGAGTAAACCAGATGGTAGACATTTTCACAGTCTTCTGCAGTCAGAACTTCTTCACTACTCCTAGGAGTGGGGATGGGAAGAAGGAAAAGGGGAAAAAAAAATAGATGAGTCAACAGAGTATGAACTCTAATGAGGGAGATAGGATGATAAACTGAAGGAAAATATATTATTCATTTCTAAAACCCAAAACAATATAGCTGAGTTCCAAAGTCTTCCTAAACAAAAATTACTGTCAAAATATGAGCATTTGGCAGAAGGTTATGCTCAGAAGTTCAGCTACTGTGTAATGCTCAATACATCCTCTATCTCTTCAGTTCAAATATAGCTTCAAATCAGGGAGTTTCTAGCCTTTACACTTACTTAACTGTGGTAGGTAAGTAACAGCACTGTTCTAGCCCGATTACTCCCGAAATTCCGATTTGTTAGTGTAAGGTGTGTAGCCATTTCTCTAGACTTTGGGTTATCTGAATTCTGTCAAACTGCTCTCCTTGCCCACAGGTGTGAGAAATACTTCTAAGTTTTAGTATCTGTTGTAACTCATATAAAGAAATATACATGTACTTACTGTAAAACAAGAGTGAGTAATTTTATTGCTTGGACTGCAACATCATATTCTTTGTCAAGAGTCATAGACACAATTCTATCCTAAGAACATAAAAGAAAGTATTTTCAAAGAGGACAAATGTAAAGCAACATTAAAAAAAAAAATCTGTATGTATTTAAAAACATTAAGGTACACCAACCTTGAACCGACTGGTGAAGAGTTCCAATTTGGAATTAAGCTCTTTATTATAGTAAAGCCCTTGCAAAGCAGTCAGGCATTTGAGTCTTACTTCCCCTTGCTAAAAAGAAATTAAGGATTGGATTAGAAGTCAAGTTATAGGATACAGCTGTGATCTTCAAATCATACAAGTTTCTTTAGCAGTCTGAATTAATTCTAAGACAAAGATTAAATGGTGTCAAGATATACTATTGATAATCACATTAATGACATAAGAATATGTCCTTGTTTGTAACAAGCCAATGAAGGGGAGGGGGGACAAAGGACCACCAAATAAAAAACCCCCAATATCTTACTGCAGTAGTATCTCTCTAAGTCAAAATACACTTTTTTGTTCTTTAAAGGCATACTCTACATGTTCAAGGTATCTCTCAGTAGAATTCTACATGTTTCCTTTCACTTAAATTAAAACTGGCAACATTGTACCATTAACCACCATCTCGTTAGTTACCAAGCAGATACACACAGAAATGTTCCTCCTGAAAGTACAAGATCTACTTCAGCAGAGAACACATTTTAAGGTACAGATACAGGAATACTTCTCAGAAGTCAAAGACAACTCACTTCACGCTGTTTCTTATCACCCCACTGCTGGGGGTTACTGGTTTTTGATACCAAACCCACGCACAGCATAGCATGAGTGAGCATCCCTCCTTCGTCTCACTTCAAAATTCAAGTCTCCAATGCAAGAACTGAGACAATGTGCTGACTCAGCAATGAATCCAGGTGTTTTGTAAACGGTATCTGTTGACCACACTAAACAGAGAATAATCTCTAGCTGTAAGGAGCAGCTTGAGGCACGCTCATCAGCACAAAAGGGGACTTTTCCCATGCTTTTTACAGCTAGCTGAGAATGCTAAAAAATTTCTTAAATTGGCAAACAGAGAAACTGTTAGGCTGTATGACTGGATTATTCCATGTGAAATGCACAGTTCGGTATTATAAAGTAGAAGTCTGTATCAGCAATAAATAAACAGCAAAAGCCATTTCCTTAAAAATCTATATATACTCTCTAAAACCATTTAAAAGATTCTCAAGTTTATTTCCTATGTATGTTGAAACGCCAGTGCTACTGATTGGTAAGAACAGCAGTGACCGCTTAAAACAGTTAAGAGATCAGAACTTAGTCTGGCAACATCCACAATCAAAACCGTGGTTCGGTTCCTTTTCCTCCCTGCAGCTTACCTTGTCATGCATAGTCCACCCTACGTATTTTAAGTAGCTGTCATTGAGAAAGGCGTCACTGTACATCTTCATCCATATCCCAATCTCTTCAATACAGATAGCTCTTATTTCAGCAATTGCATCTCTGCAGAGAGACATGGGGCAACAGGATCAAACAGATGAATCATTAGAAATAACTTGTCACCAGAGCTACAAATGACTAAGAGAAACTTACCGGTATCTATGCACAAAAACACCTTTAAATATTGCATTCATCATGTTTTCTATTTCATCCTGATTTTCCTGAAGCTGAAAGAATGAACAGAGTACATGAACAGTGAGCAGCACTTTCACAGTCAGATCAGATGATGCCAATGCCAGACTAACTAAATTAAGTTCACATTTGCAAGTGTGGCCATTAAATCCTTTCCCGAAATAGTCACAAATCTGTTCCACAGTACAATAAGCTGTCACTTAAGGAATTGTTATCTACCACCACATACAAATTTTAGTAAGTCTGACCACTGGAAAACTGTTCAACTGTAACAAAGACATCTTAGGTTTCTGCAAGCTTCTCCTGAAGTTATTTATGAGTAAACTTGACTTAATTTTCCAGTAACTTTTTAAGCCTGATGTTCAGTCCCATTTTTAACACACTTGCTATGTTTTTTATGGACACATATTATTAGAAATTGTGCAAACTGCATTGCAAGGAGACTTTTCTTGTAAGCTAGAAAGACAAAATATATCTGAAGCACCTTGCAAATGGCTACATGAGCAGCATATACTTTGTTTGGAATGCCTCTCTCCTCCTTATCCATTACTTAGAGTGGGGAAGAAAAAAAGGCAGAAACTGAGTAAGGTATTGGAGAAAAAATTTCCTGGGTATCTGTGTATCACAGACAATCGGACTGGTCCTGCACACACATCTAGAACAACTACACTTGATGGGTGTTTAAGGGACCAGTCTCAAACTGCAAGATCTGTGTGAGATTAAGAGAACACAAAGTTGTTTTTGTTCCCTTGACAGTTCAGATAAACTAAAACATTAATAGGTAACAGCACAACAGTTGAAAAGCAAAAGGTGAGATGTTTCCTTTGATAGTGAGAAGGTTGCTTCTAATGTAAAAAAAGAACAAAAACCCTCCACAAACCTAAAACAAACCACCAGTTCCCCAAAAAATAAAACTTTTAAGCCTGAATGAGTTTGGGCTTTCAACAAGATGGCACTGTCAGCAATGAATCAGCAGGTCCCTTTTACACAGAAATAAAGAAAATAGAAGTAGATTGCATTTTCAATTTTGATAGTGTTTTCTGTCAAAGAAAAACCTTTATCTAAAGCCTTTAACCATGTTTTCAGCCGAGATCGGTACTGACATCATAAAAGCAGTATTTCACCCCAAGATCATGGGGTTCTTCTCTAGAAGCCAAAACCAGCCCATGCATGGTAATTTTTGTTACATATTTAAGCTCAGTTTAGGAAAGTAGTTGAGAACAACAATTATGTACTGCTGATCGCAGTCTCTTCTGCTAGCTTTCCTAAGACAGCACAATCTGAATTCTGGGTTTTTTGGGGTTGTGGGCGCTTTTTTTTGTTTAGTTTAGTTTAAGAGCCTACATTTATCTCTTTTTACAGAAAAACAAATGATACAAAGCACCTTTCAATGCAATTAAGTTTTTCAAATACTAAACATACCAAATACTAAACAGCTTAACGACTGAAACAGAGGGACTAATAACTACCATAAAAAACCAAGACAAACACACAAGAACTGTTAGTAGCTGTCATGTACCACCACTCATCCTATGCACACCAGCTACAGAGAGCTGCACTAACCTCCTTCCTTTTCTGCAGTAATAGTTCCAGCCGATCGTTAGCTCGTTTCCCAATTATTTTATTCCGTTCTGCTTCATACTGCCGTTGTGTATTGTCCATGTTAATACTAAGATTTAATGCCACATTCACCAAAGCAGTCATCAGCTTCATGGCTACAGGAGTCAAAAGAACAAGGATTATTTAAAAGGTTACCTGAGCTGAGAAGAATTCTGAACAAAACTCTTGACACCTCCACCTGTCTGTATTTATGAAAATACATTCACTGTGAAGTTCTGGATACACAAACTTCAAGACTTCAGCGGTGTTTTCCTAAGCACTGCATCATGACTTTTTCAACACTAAACACTAACAGTTTCTTCTTCCTGTCAGTATTTTAATACAATAAGCATTATTGTTGAATTGAGATATGCTTTCCCTAAAGAAAGAAGGTGGAATGTAAGAATTACAAACACAGCCCAGGAAATATTCCAAGGATTCCATTACTGGAATCAGTCAGTAGACTGGTATCCCCAAATCATTCAAACTCAAACAAACAAGAATTTTTTCCTTCAAAATGAAAGGTCTTAGACAGCCAATGCCACCATATCACCCCATTCTTTTTTGTAATTTAAAGAAAACTGACTCTCATTAAAATATTCCATTATTTGCTGAAGCAGAGAAAAGAACACCACTCAATTAGAAGCCAGAGAACTGACCAAAATGTAAAATAGACCTGGGTGGGGGTTTTTGCATGCTTTATTTCCCAATCAACTCTTAAAAAGGGTGCAGACACATCAGCCTGCTCCACAAACAAGGAGGCGGTCACAGCGTACTTGCTTTTCATACAAGCTTTTGTAAGAAGGCACGAAAAGGTTCGCATGGGCAGAGCATACACGGATTACTACGCGTGTAACACTCGCATGAAGCTGATGAGTAAGGCATACAGACACACTGATATACCAAAATACCGTCACGCACTGTTCTCCAAGGATATCTAAATGAAAAGAGCATGTTCTGAGCTAATCATAAAAGCCAAAATGAATGCAAACAACAGCAAATATCGATTCAAGGGGTTTGTTGGCTGTCTCTCTCATATAAATAACACAATCTTCAAGAATACGAGTATGATCTCCTATGAAATGCACAAGTAATTACATAAAATCAACAGAATCGACTACTGATGTGAACAAATGCAAACAGACTACTGATAAAAACTTCGTGTGACAGCAATTAACATGCATCAGGGCAACTCCTGCAACTTCTATTCAGGCCCAACTCAAATTTAAAGAAGTAGTAAAAACTTGCGGGTTTTTTAAGAACTAAAATCTGTACTAGATATACCGTAGAACAGCCAAAATGAGGATACTGCACAATCAGCGTGTTCTCCTGAAATACAAGCTTTTGTTCCTCCCTCCATAATAAATGCCTTGGGTAGGGGAGTCCCACAGCAGCTGCCCGATGTGCAGCGTGCTAACGTACACTCAAGAGGTGATCACTGAAACCCAAGGACTGATCAGACAGCCCAGAACTGAAGCTAGCTGTGACTCAGCCGGCTCCACTGAAGCTAACAGGAACTCTTTCCAGTGTAGCAAAAGCTCAGTTTCATATCTAAATACACCTTGTTCAGGCTAAAATTGCCATGATAAGCCATACATAAGTGGACTGCTGCACAATGCCATCTGAAACCCTTCCTCATTCATCAACACAGGTTTAGGACTTCCTTATCCAATAAGCTTATCCTTTGCCCATAAAGTGACATATTTATTTCAAACACTCCATACTTAAAGTATCCAGCAATCCCTTATGAGTTAACAGATTGGGGGAGGGGGGGGAAGAAAGAAAAATCACATAAAAAGGACAATTACTTAAAACCATCCAGCAATTTAGTCATTTTATCACTGATGAAACATTCTTTAAAATTATTTCTAATCCAATGAACGGAAATACTACTTTCAATTACATTGTGCCATGGCCTCAATATACAGCGCAACTTAAATCTGTAGTAAAAATTGCATCCAATCTAAGATACAACTCCTGTTTGAGTTAATGCAGAGCATAAATAGGTTCAATTGCATCTGAGGTTAAAAAGATATCTGCACCCTTATTAAGGCCAAACTTGAGGAATCAACTGAAAAGTTTCCTTCTATTTACTCTTTCTACCAGCCTTGAAGCTAACAAACATTAAGTACTAGACAGCTGGTAAAAATGCTTTAAAATAGCACTGTGTTTTTCAGTAATGAAAAACCAGTAAAGACAAGAGAAGAAAGCTGTATCAAAACAAGTTGCATTAGATGAAAAAACCATGTATCACGCAACGAAACAAGAGCTGAATGTTGAAGATATTCAACCAGAACAATTCTTTCCTGTGCAACACAAAACACAAAATAGAAGGAATACACAGATAAATAGAAATCACTGACCTGCCAGTGTGCTAGTGTGCCGAAATGCTCTGACTTGTGAGTCTGATAGCCCCGTAAGCAGTGAAATGACAGTATCCATCATATATTCATCATATATGATGCTATATTGACATTGTCGGACGAGTACTCCAATGAACTCACAAAAACTGGATTTGAACTTCTTCCACTGGGGACCAGCCATTGTTAATGGATAATCTCCACTATCCTATTAAAAAAAAAGGGGGGCGGGGAGAAACAGGAAGCTCTTACAAACATCTAACAGTGATTTTATCAAATACATGTCTTCTCAAATACAGATATATAAATACTAGAACAAAAGGACCATCACATGGAACAGCTGACATTCAGGAACACTCGGTTCAGAACCATAATAAAGTTTACAGGGGGATGCTTACATATCAGACTGAAAATTCCTGAAGTCATAAAATGACCTACCATAACACCACAATTGTAACAAATGTGTGTTCCTCTCCTAGTCTGGGAACCTTTATAACTAACAGTAAAATGACAGGGGGTAAGAATTGACAATCATTTGTATCAGTGCTCCTGTGATCAGCTTAAGAGGCTAAACATTACAGGTCGAAAATGAAGAAAGCATCCATGAAAAGGGATTAGAAATCTGGGAGTTGTTCATTGGAATTCTGTTACAAGAAAGAGCAAGCATAAGAGTTGGGGAAAAAACCTCAACAGTCCCAGCTGGAGCTTTATAAATTTCATACATTACCTTAGAGTAATCAAAACTATTTATGAATTGAGATGGTTCTAAGGAAATACCAAGATCCTTTGAAACAAAATCGCATTACATATTCCCCTCCATTAAAGTTACCAATGTTCTTTGGACCAGGGGGAGGAGAGGGAATGTTATTCTGGTATTAGGCAAATGTTGGGAGGCTTTAAATCTGCCTTTACCTTCTTTGGTGTGCAGTGTGAAAGGAGTATCATTCAAAAAATAAATGCATCCAAAAAACCAACCCACTTCATTTACCCCAACACTCAGTGAACAGGAAGTAAGTAATTTAAAGGAGAAAAAGCTTCCCATGAAAAGCAAAGCACTGAAGTCTTCACTTGGAGAATAATCGAATTCAAATCCTCATGACTGGTAGATTAATGAATGCACAGAAATAAATTTAGCAACCATTCTAAAAGTTACTTAAAGATGACTTAAAGGCCTTATATGCACAGCAGGAACATGGAGGCATCCCACTCAGCCCCACAGTAATAGGAGTTCCCACTGTTCAAAAACTGAAGTGGATTTTGATTTCTTAAACCATTAATAAAACAACTTACATGCAGAGCTTTACTTCCTAGCTTTGAAAGTGAAATAAGGGAGTTCAGTGTTTTCATTCATAAAGTCATTTTTACAGCTGACCTTACCCATGAAAGAAACCTGTAGCAACGTGATCCAACCATATTAGCGCAGGGAAAATAAAAAACGAGTATCAATACATCATCATCATCATCAATTAACTAAATTACCTCATCAAATTCCTCAGTCATTTTTCGGATGATTTCAGAATTCTGCATATGCCGGAACATCTCTGCTGTAACAACCCCTACAATGTAGATATTAGGTTATTAACACTCTGAAGATGAAAGAGGTAGATGGCAGGTGACAAGCCGCCTGCTACAATGTAAAAATGATCAATCTTCAGCTAACCTACAGATTATACATGTATTTAAGATTATTTTTATTTTAGCATTCATGTCTAGTAAGTGCTTGGCACCCGTAATTATGTATATGGGGTTTGTTACTATTCTTTTTGAAAGATGTTAGTGTGTACATAGGTTGACAGTTTACTCACTCACTCCTATTCAGCAAAGATACTCATGCCAAACCCTTCATCGGCAGAGAGAATATGCTAATCTGAAGTGACCTTTCAGGACTCAAGACTCTAAATGGTATCAGACAACTCTGAACAGTTCTAGTGCTACTTCTGCAGTGCAATAAACACAGTGATTTTGCACAATTTCTATCTGTCTTAGCCTCAAATTGTTAGTGTAACACGTGATATAAAACCAAATAGACCTCCTAAAGTTTACTGCAACTATACTGCAAAATTCATGACAGGGATCATCTCATAAAGCATTAAAATATTCTGTAGTTGTATCTGGTGGCAATAATCCAAAGGTCACTGCGCTTGCAAGCATGGATAACCTCTGAGGAATGCTGTTAGCTCTCTGGAGATGTATGCACATTAGAAGCTTGCTGGGACAGAGAAACGCTTGAGCAGAACAAATTACATTCCAGCCCTACTCTATCAAAGGCATTGACACCGCAGGGTAAGTTACCTTCTCCTCTTCAAAAGGAAGTGAGGGGAGAAAGAACGTGGAAATGGGGACAGAAAAACAGAAAATAAAGAAGGAAATAAAACAGGGGAAGACAATCCTACCGTAGACAGGCTACCACGAAGCTGTCCATAGTATCTTTTAAACCAAGCATCTCTACTAATGCTATGAATCAATCTTAAACACCCAACAATACGACTTAGGTAAATCCAAACAAGAACTCCAAGACTGAATAAGCTAAACTATCATGTTGAGAGAGAGAGATGGTCTTCTGAAACAACAGCAGGAGTAGAGGAAGATGAACTGAGTGTCAAGTACCAGTACTGCATTCTCTCTGCTGTGAATACAAAAGCCTTACTCTACACTTTTATAGTATAATAGCTCTAAACCTCCTGCTCCCACCTTCAGAAATACTCACTTAACTACAAGAACCTGACAATACAGACTAGCCACAGGGATGGAGCAGTCCTACAGTATCAGCAAAGAATGAGAAACAGACTGTAATTTTAAATGGATGAGTAAACATTTCAGTATCTTACCTTTGCAGCCTGAACACTGAATAAAGAAGTTAATGAGATCAAGAAGTGCTATATCTCTGTCATGTTTGTATGACTCTATCCAGTCATCCACTACAGACTGAAAAGAAAATAATATAAAGGCACATTTTAGTTTCATAAATTGCAGTCAGTGTTATTTAACTGCTTTCCAGTAAGTGGTTCTTGTTCCCTCCATAAATAACTTTAATTCTTGTGGTTTTTTGATTAATACAGAACAAATTGTTTGAATGATCCTTTACTGCCACAGTATCAGTTTTCAAGAACAGAACTCATTCTGTAAACATATAAAAGTAGTAAAATGACACCTACACATAAAGCACAGGAAAACCCTATAGACCTACCAGGATGTTTTTAAGGAAGAATACAAAAATAATTGGTGTGTTTGACAGAAGCAGGTTTTCTTTTTTTTTTTTCTTGTTTCTAACCTAGTGACACTACTCTGAAGATACCAATTGAGTGTTCCGCTCCAACAACTACAGCTCCCTGTACTCTTCAAAATGCTGCCCCTTTGATGAACTCTGCTCCACACACCTTAGCCGCAACAGGATGAAAAGCACAGCGCCACACTGCATGCACATTAATTGCTCTGTATTAACTAACCCAATAGGAACAAGAGCATTTTACTAAAATATCTTAAAAGAAAGCAAACCTGTGATGATGGTTTTGAGAAAACAGAATTTACATGCCATTATGTTTGAACCATCCATGTGTATATTACTATTGTCTACCAAAGTCATAAAAACATACATCATACAATTAACACAGGCACAAGAGACTCACTTTAGTACCAAGCTCCCAGAGTTTTGAGATTTGTTTTAATATGTTGATACTCTGCTCTAAAACCTACAGTCATTTTTAATAGAGATGATGGAATAGTTTAAAACTTCCAAAAGACAAATGGACCACAGAGCACCCCCAATGTGTCCTGCCTGTACTTTTCTCAGTGCTTACTCTCACAGGCAATAAAGCTGTGAGGATAATTAAAACATACCACCACACTGAAAAATTTCAAAACAGATACAGCTAAATCCCTCTTCCCTACATTTAAGGCTGTTCGTAGCATTATGCACAACTTCTGTCAGCCAGACAGAAACACTGAAAAACTCAAAGTGAAACTGTGATGCACTTCCCAGTAGGAGCAGAACCTACAAACTAGCACTGATTTGACTGATCTGTGGGCAGTGGGAAATAATCTAGGAATCATCTTAAATCAGATTTATGAACAAGGTCACTGTGCAAGAAAAGGATGATGCTAGGATTGTGATAAATATTTTGGGCAGTCTTGTTTTCAGAGTTTATTTGTTTTAAAGAACCTTCAGCAAAACAGTAGTTTCTCTAAACATTTTTGCCTCAGTGGATGAGCCATCTGTTTTTGCCAGCGAACAGGCAGAAGATGGTATGGAACAGAATTTAAAATTAAGTTACATAAAAATTATCACCAAAAATCTTTTCAGGTAAGCAAGGGCTGAGGGCCACAGAGAAAACTTTTTACATTGAGTACTGAAAAAAAATATTGACTAAGAGTCACTCTGTACTCAGGAATCAATTCCCCAGTGCAACTGAGTAATCAGGCCTGGCAAAGGTCCACTTTGCTCTTGGAAAGCAAAAGATTTTGACTGTGTATCGTTTTATGTAGTTAAAACGTCACGAAGATATAACTGCTGATAACTGGCTGAAAACGCAGCGTACAGCACCGATGCTGAAAGCACTGCTCTCCCACCTGCTCCGAAACACAGCAGAACAAAACCAATGACAGCCGTGTCAGAATCTGTCTGTGCAAACACATCACAACACACTCTGTTCTTACAAGTCGGAACTAAACTTCTGCCCAGGACTGCGGGCATCCAGGGTTCCCAGCCTAACGCAGGAACCTGCAAATCTCAAGAGGCCTGCACACAGCCCAGCTTCCTGCACGCGTAACCCAGAAGCTGTCAACTCTAGGTTTTCAATCCCAAAGATAGTCTTGCTGCCAGGCTGCTGAGGATCAGGAAGGCTTAATGGCTGACAGGCTCACACTTTAACCCTCTCCCCACTGGAACATTCACAGTCGAGCCAACACTTTACTGATTTAACTGAATTAAAAAAACAAAATGGTGTTGATTTTCTTAATAGACTGATTTCAATCCTATTGGGAAATGCAGTGGAGACTGCCTAATGCAGACTTCTAACAAGTTAAAATTTCCTGACCCAGATTCCAACCAGTTTGAGTGTTGCAATATACGTTACCCAAGCCAACTTAAGGACTACTCTTCCAATTTCCCCTAGGTTGTAGCTAGTGATTTTACTTTGGGTGTGAGAAGAGAAGCAATCAGATGATCTAAGCTCTGGGAGCACCTACAAACCACAGAAGTCCTATGACAACCATAGGCATAAACCACATCTGTATTTAGTTACAGCTACACAAAAAGGACTTTAAAAGTCTTGCAATTTAAAATAACCTTTCTTCAATCAGTACAGTCAAAATTCACTTTGATTTTCTTTGTTATGTGATTATTTATACCTGACATTTCTAAATGAAAAATCGGTTTGTTAAAATTCAAACCTTAACAATGCAAAACCACTTTTTTTTTTCCTTAAATCTTAAGCTGGAACTAAAAACTACAAATTGAAGAAAAAATAATTACTATAAGCTTCATTATATCGTGTATACAGGAAAATACTGTATTTAAATTGCATACCCATCCAAGTCACAGAGATATCCCAAGTCTTACCTGCATAGCACTCTTGCCCATTTTAACTACCTCAAACAGCATCATGTTTTCCACACCATTCTGTTGGTGATGTCCATTCATCCGATTCGGACCACCAGGTTTCCCTCCTCCGTTTCCACTTTTCCCCTTTTCTGCTGGCCCCTTTTTTCCTTTTTTACAGGTCTGCAATCACACACACAAGAAGTTTCACTTGAGTATTACATCGTAATTTTTGAAAATATTTACTATTCATATCATGACAACTATACACAAGGCCTTTTATTTTCAGGAACCAGATTTAAAACCCCAAGTTGAGAGGGATAGCTGATCCTGACTGATACAAAGACTAATGGGAATTCTGTGGGTTCCATTTCCTCCTTCCCTCATTTAAAATCTTGTAGCAACAAAAAAACACAATTAGTAACAATGTATGAGACAATGACTTTTCCCATGTTTAAATTGTAAAACAGATTATACAGGGGGTTTTTAAAACGGTTATGGCAACTCCTTTAACACACCACCTAAGAACATCTTTTCTGTAATTCTTTAACCTTTTGGTTTTCAGTTTGAGCACAAACTGGCAAGTGGAGGTAAAGAACAGATCGGTGTCTTGTATTTGATTCCCCAAATCACGTATGACTTACAGAAAGAAGAAAACAGGAAATAAATGGCTGTTGTTGTATAAAACCTCTCAACAGCTGGGCACTCTGTACCAGTACAGGATGTGGGGTGCCCAGCAAGGCAGCCATGGCCCAGGCCAGCTGGCATGCAGCAGCCTGTGCCACTGCTGTGGGTGCCCAGCCAGTGAGGGCAGGAGTCCCCGAGGTGGGCACCTGCCCCGTGAGTGGGAAGGGAACCATTAACTGGGTTTAGAACTCCCTACTTGGGTAGTGTAACCTGCCTCCGGCCTATTAAAAACAACCCTGTTTAACTGAATTACTGGTTTCTGTTCACTTTTTAAATTAAAAGAGAGCCAGAAATAATGACGCCAACCAAAAGAGACTGTATTAGCACCAAACTGAAGTATAGGATGGAACACATGCAGAGAGACTAATCAAATCAAAGCTGATCTTTTACTCCCCCACCTCCCTTATGCCTTCACAGCACTAGTGAAATACCATGCAAATACTCAAGATGAAGCATTTCAATGCAAATACAAATATGAACTCTGTTCACAAAACACTCGCATTTTCAGAAAATATTCCTAGCTCATTCAGCTTCAAAGGAAGTGCTGAACTCTTCAATTCCTTACAAGCGTTTCAGTACCCCTATAAACTGCACATACTTTTCCTTTGCCTTGTTTTTGGTTTTTTCCTTCAATATCCTCAAAGTCTGTATCGGAAGACAAGTGTGTTTCAGACTCCCTGCAAGGATCAAAAGACAAACCATTAACACATTTCATCAGAAGCATTCTTCAATATACTACACAAAGTCACATTATGCTCAGTCCAGTCAGTCAGCTCTAACAGTGAAACCACTTTTTTCTCCAAGTCTACTGCCAAGGAACAGATCTGAGCAGATCCTCACACTCACCCCCCCCCACCTCCAGACAATTTACCTGTGAAGAAACCCATACAGTAAGGTTAAAAGATGTGAAGGCAGAAAACAGCAACAGGTTGGGAACCTTGCTTTTGACACATGACAAACATTATACCATCTCAAAAAGCCAAGAGCACTACAAATATCTGCCACAAATAGCAAAAAGAGAAACCACCACCCTCCCTCGCAACCGAAGTGTCTCGGCAGAGGTATGCACTTCTGTTGAAAGGTACAGAAAAAAGTGTTTAGGGGAGGTTTCTCCATCAAAAAGAACGTGTAGCTCTGTTTAGCCTTACAAGGTAAAGAGACATTAAACTATATGTGAACTTTCTCACTTCTTTAATGCCCTACATCATTAAAATCTGTGGCATCGTTATACAAACCCTTGATTGCCAACACTGATGGAGGGCTGGGGGTGTGGAATCACCTGAAGTATTAACAGAGAATACTTAACTTGTATATTCTCTCTTTCCACATTTCCCGTAGAATACAACTTAAATGATGCTGCTAGATCTTGTTTCAACACACACATGTAGTACAATGAATTCCAGCTGCCAACAGGAATTTCTGATACACGCTTCCCGATTCAATTAGCGACGCAATCAAAGATGGCCCAGGGCACAGAAGACCCATTTGCTATGTATTTATTTATAACATTTTGAAACCATCCAGAAAGTTTAGGTCTCTTATTTCTACAAGTGTCTGAAAAGAGCTTTCTGCCTTTTAATATGTATTTTGCCATTTCTGGTTTTGTTAACCCTATATTCTGATATGGACTGACAAAAGTCGCCAAACGTGGCACAGCAGGGCAGAAAGAAAAATGTGAGAAATACTTCTACAAAATTTCCTATGTGTTACTATTTTCACAGGAAAAAATAGAACACAAATTCCAAACATTTCTCTAAGCAATGAACTGTACCAACAGAGTAAAAAAACATTATAAGCAGCTGTAGAAACAGTATTTCATATTAAACCACCTTCCAATTTACCTTTCTTATTAAAAGGAAAAAACCACACAACTTCACTGATACGAAAATGCATCTTTCTATCTTTTTACATTTCGTACCAATTTAATCAATTTCAACAAGCTGTTGAAACGTATTCATGCCAATTTCTTCGTAATTAAGCGATGAGGAACTGGATTCTTTTGGTCAGCTTAAAATAATCACTTTATTTCTCTGTCCAAAACATAATCTGTACCAGATTTCAAATCTTGGAAATTCAAATGTCTGTTTCTTAAGAACTGTAAGACTAATAAGTGAGTAAAACGATGTTAAGAACACCAAAGAACTGATGCCTAAGGGAAGCAAAGACTTTGGCTTTACCTAAAGCATTTGGCATTGGGTGTTTTAAATACTAGGCGACCTGCCCCAGTTATTAAGGACAAATACCTCAGCTGCTTCCTTATTCTCTCTAAAAAACAGACTTTATTAAAGGAAACTCTTTTTAGTATTCCTAATCCAGAGTTTCTTATTCCTTCTGAAAGACAAAATCCTGAGTAGCATGACATGAAAAAAAAAAGTCATCCATCACAATGACTTCCTACTACCAAAGTTTAAAAATGTATTTAAAATAATTAAGCACTTGAAAATAGTTTAATTACTGGTGAATAATCAAGAAAGAATTCAGAAAATGCTTTATCAATATCTCAGTGGGGGAGGGGGAAATCTAGAACCCTATTCCCTCATTTTGTTTCCAAGAGAAAGCAACCATATGTATTAACACTAAAAAGAGCCAGTACATTTAAAAATTAACCTACAAATTCTTACAACACTTACTGGAGGAGAGTAAAATCAGTTGGTATTTCTGGAGCTGCTATCATTTCTTTATCATCTTCTGGAACACCACTGTGTTAGAAAGAGATTCAAGAACCAGTCTGACGTACAGGCTTACTTTTCTTTCTTCCTCTGTAGTGGACAACTTCTATAGTAAAAGAAAGAAAGAAAGAGAGTGAAAATTTTTCCACACATGAAGGGGTGAAAAAGTTGAAAACACAAAAAATTTAGAACACACCACCCTCTGCACCCAACCGAGCTTTTTCCTAGCTAAAGATTTTTATATTTTTTTGACTCTACCTATGATGTTACTACAAAGTACCTCCACAAATCTCAAAATCATCACGGTAAAATAAAATACAAAAACATTTGGCAAATAACATTTTCTGAATAGGGCGAGCAAACCAGAATGGTTTTCATTAACACCTGGCAAATAACAGCTTTTATTTCGAAACCTACACTAGTCCTAAGTTTGAACTGTAAGACCACGTGCTGCGGAGCCCAGGCTTAACCAACGCCAGGGTATTTTTGGTTAACCAAGCCAGAACCAGATCTGATGTTAAATTTAAAGCACAGTATGTGTTCATTCAAGGACATTAGGTGTATCAACTTTGCATCTCCAGTTTGTAAGCTTCCATGGCATTTTCCACAAAGATAAGTGCTTATAACAAGTTGTTATAACCCAGACAGCTGTTTCACAACTCCCTGTCTTCCAGAGTTGATAAACCAGGTTTACAGCAGTGAAATTTTAACACATTTGACAAGACACTAAGAATATCAAGGAATGTAATGCTATCCACGTGTTATAAAGAAAAACATCAGAAACGGAGCAGCACTTTATCAAGAAAATGTAAGATTGTGAATTACTTGCTCTTAAACTTAATTATAATATTGTCACTTATTCATAAATTTTGTTATTTTCCTATGGTTAAGGAAAAACAAACTCTCTGGATACTTCAAATGTGAGACTTAACCACACAGGCTAAAGTCTTCTGTATCAACTGTCTGCCCCAGGGTAACTTCTATAGAGTTAAATTAAGAAAGCATGATGTTCGGGTGGTTTAAAGGTACAATAGCAAGGAGAAAAGCCCTCTAAGTCTGCTGACTCTACAGCTTGCTGGAGTGATTAGGTATTTGACGGAAAGATTTAATTTTGGCATGCTAAGCACATGTTGCTTAGTGTCTGGTAGCTATGCTTCAGAGGCTGCATGTCAATTGAGCGTGTAGAGAGAAGCCTACTTTTTTTATTCCCCCTGCAAATGCTTATTTTGAATGCTAGGGGCCACTGTAGCTTCCAGAATTTAGGAAGCTGAGAGAAGTGATAAACCCTGAACTTAACTATGTTCTCCTTCTTCACATTTCACACCATTACATAAAAGCAGAGAACCAGCATGGAAAGAAATAGTGGCAAAAAGAGAGGCGGTTTGAGATAGGCTGGTGAATCTCCAGGCAGGCTGCGACTGCTAAAGCACGTTCCAGCTAGAGGACAGCAGCAGAGAAAAAGCTTCAACACACTGCTAATGCAGAATGTTCGTCACCCCATCCCTCCCTCCTGTAAAACCACACTGACCAGTGTGTTCCACCCTCTCCTGCTCCAGTTACACGCTCCTGAGCAAACAAGCAATCATTCACAGGCAGAGTGACATCCGCTCCCCAGCCTTTTATCTTGGTCGGCTCTGCCATTCAGTATCACCTGATTCAACTCCCCAGTAAAATGGGCAAAATACACCTCAAGTATTTTTTTCCCTGGATTATCAACTGGTTGAACAGCAGGTATGCGGAGCCCGTGCATGGGAAACACAAGACTGCAGAGCCATGAGCAGGGGAGGGAAGAGTGGAACTGCCGCCTTTGGAGGCAAGGAGCTACTACACCATCCAGGCTGTCTGTGAAACCATATGCTCAGGTGGTGCCGTATCAAAGGGCTCCACATTCTGGGTTTTCTTTTATTTAGGATTTGCTCTGATTCCTATCAGCAAGTCACACTTGTAAAAATACTGCAGCACACTTTAGTGCCTTGGTCATCAGGCTAGCATCTGCTCGAGGTGTACCTCATGGGACCAGGGAGAAGGAGGAAAGAAAAAGAAAAGAGAGAGATCCAGCCACGCAAATCCTTTCTGGGGCATGCTTGTGATTCAGTCCGGGTGCAAAGCAAAGATTCAAACCTGAAAAACCACACTGTCTGGTTTCAAGTTCAACATGTTATTTGACTTTTCCTATTTACATTTTTCAAAGCTGAGAAGCAACCCATTTACTAAAGCAACAATCAGGATGCTTATGCTCAGATTTTGTACTATGGCTCATTAATACTACCTGTTTAAAATACTGGAATTATCAATTCCATAAAATTTTTCAAGTACTGAGAAACAAAGAAACTTAACCACTTGTTCACAGAATTAACACATTTTTAGCTCCCCTTAGGAAAAGCAAATCTATCATCCTATCAAATTTTTAAAAAAAATCTCAATAAAGTTTCTTACAATCACAGAAATATTTAAGAAAAAATTAAAAGAACTATGAAAAAGGATGGGTAAATGATTAAAGTATATATTCTACATCAACCAAGTCAAATAAATCACTTGACAAAACCAGCTGGCTGCAGTTGAACCAACCTGAACTTCTCCTAAGAACCATTCCTCTTACTACAAACAAAACACGGAAGGAAACACGGCATTGTTTGGTCAGAATCACCCCATAAAATGGGAAAGAAATATCAAGTTCTTGCTAGATGCTGAAGGATTAAGCTACTAAGATTAACGATTCAAGAATTGTTATTCTTAAAGAAACTTGGCCCTCATGAGCGATCATCTTCATGGCCTTCTCTGGACTTGCTCCAACCAATCTATATCCTTCTGATGTTGCGGGCTCCACAGCTGGATGAAGTGGTCTCATGAGTGCAGAGTAGAGGGGGAGAACCGGTATGATGGAAAACAGCAGCCAAAGATGAATGCCTTGCAAGAACATATGAGGTAAGACTGTAAGAGATCTCCAGCCTCAAGCTCAAACTGTAGCACTGACCAAAAAAAAAAACCCACAAAAAACCAAAACAAACAAAAAAACCCAACAAAACACCCAAAAAAAACTTTGCATCTGTCCCAGTAAAGGTTAATTTTAAAGGATTTATATACATCCAGAACCTGACAGGGACTTGGACTTTTGATCCTCAGCCTAGCTCAGCACACCCTCTCCGGCAGTGCCCAAGAGAGGCTGCCCAAGGAAGAACACACTGGCTTTGCTCTCACTAGCAATGTTTTCCCTGAATATCGTCCCAGCATCCAGAAATAGATCAGAGATTCTTTCACCCAGAGAGGCTGTCCCTGTATTTTATAACACCTTACCAATTTTTTTCCATGTTTCTAATTACTTTTTTCAACTCAATGTCCAGCAGTGATGGTATTCCACACAAGAACTCCCTCAGCCAAACTCCATACTGCCAAGAGGCATGTTTTCCTTTGAATTTATCACTTACTGATTTTATTTGATGTTAATCTTGTTTTGGTATGCGAAAAAGACTAGCATTGGTCATTCCCCTTTATCCTTGATCTCAGTAAATGCCTTCTGGAAATGCAAGGCTACTGCCAGCCGTGTTTTCCTCACGCACATACATGATGACTCATTCAAAGCATCCGGTTTGGGAAGTCAATGAGAAAGTAAAAACATCCATAGAAGCATCCTATCAGAACTTTTAAAATATATCAAGTTCATCACACTGCAGGCTGAAAAGAAGAAATTGATATTCTTGCAAATGCCCTTCCAAACAGTGAAAGTCCATGTTATCTATAAAACATGCTCCAATAAGCAGATTATTTCAATAAATTAATTCTAAACTGCATTGCATCATAAAAAGCAGCTCTTCCATTTCTCTTTCGCATGTTCACATAATTCCAACTTTAATTTCCCCAAGCAGATACCAAAATATCCCAAGTGTCTGAAAACTTTTTTAAGTCACTCAACTTTGTGAGATCATAATTAAATTATTAACTATAAAAAGAAAATGTATCACGCTGAAAGATCACAAGGTGGAGCTCTAGCCTAAAGCTAACTGAAGAAACTCCAAAAGACAGGTCATCCAGAGGTTGACCTAGTTATTTCTGTGCAATAAACTTTATAATAGATGGCTAAAACTGCAATAATACTGTAGCACGTTTCCTTGGATTTACATTTAGATTACATCAAGACATCAGAAAATTGCTGCCTCTTTTCAGAAATAATTGCATAAACGCATATACATGTTTGGTTCCGTGACTCTCCAAGACAGAAGCGCACACAGCTGCTGTACTATGACTAGTCTCAGTATGTTGTTTTCAAAAGCAAGCAGAAGAATTTCACAATACATTTGAATCGCATAAATAATGTATCCCTTTATTGTACCTTACCACTTTTAACATTTTGCTAGCAAAATGTTAACGAACAAAAACAACCCCACTGGAGCAACAGAAATAGTCCAGGAACACTAATCATGCATTTAGAGTTGGCAACATTATGTATGAGGAGTTTCTATTTAAAATAATTTGACTAATAAAAGCAAAAGCTAAGCGTGAAGCACTAGAAAACTCAAATGTTTCTTCACTGAAAAACAAATTTAAATTGTAAAAGGTTATTTTACCCTAACACATGAATAATTAATGTAGGTATGGTTGTGATTAACTCGGGTATAGATGGCCCAATGTTGAGATCTGGCAAAAGTTGACAACATTCACCAGCACAATTCACACAATAACACATACAACCAGCAGCTGAGGAGTGCTACCTGCCCTTTCGCAGTTTCTATTTCACACAAAAATCAGCTAAACAAACATTAATATAATCCAGCCAGCAGCCTTTGTTAAAAGAATATGCATATATACACACACACAAAAAGAATCCCAGGATCTGTCCCAGAAGCCTGTGTTTCATACAGTTGTGTAAATGCAGTAACTAGTGTCATTTAACTGCTCACAGGTAGATGGGCTTTGGTCCGGGGTGGGTT